TGCGTGGGAGACGGAGGGAGGGGGAGTCTCTGCAACGGCCATGCAAGGCGGGCCTCCCCAGGGAGAAGAGGTCCCTTCGTGGGCAGGTTACAGCTCCTTTCATTACTAAATTCTTATCAATGAGCAGCAGTGCCCCCACTTACCAATGCTGGGGGGAGTTAGGAGGGGGAAATGCTAAAACCCCCACCCCATCTATCCCCGTGCTTTCAAAGCAACTTTCACTTTACTTTCTAGAACTGCAGGTTCTTCATCATAGGATTCCTTTTAATAGGAGTTTTTCGTCTTTCCATCTCTTCTATATGGATCTTCAATATACTGTTTCCACCTTTTATTTATTTTTGCTGGTCAGGTAGTGGTTTCCCTATTGGTCTCTCAGTGTTCCTAATCTAGGCTTGAATTTCCCTTTGATTTCTTGGATTTTTTTTGGAAGAGATGTCTTGTTTTTCCCCCTCCCCCCCCCTTTTTTTTTCTCTCTCTCCCATTCAACCAGTCCCTGGGAAGTTGTTGGCCGGCGGAATGAGGTCTGGCGGATCGCACAGGGAGAGCTGGGGTGCGGCTCTACCCTTGAGGAATAACCAGCCCTCCACGTGCCTCGGGGCTCGTCCAGCAACAGCGAGAGACCCAGACGACTTGGCCACCTCTGAACAAAGCTTGGCTGTCGCTCCATGCGGGTCGCCAGGCGCGAGAAGGAGTCAACCCGATGCCTTTTTCCCCCTCCCCTTCCGGGAACAGAGAAGAGACTCTGGGGGGACCGTCCCACTCCGCGGGACAAGCACTCCAGGGGCAGAGGGGCTGAGGTTCTCCAGGCCTCTCCCTTGGCCCTGGTGACCCTATGCAGGCCCTCAGGAATGCTTCTTGCACCCCTAGCCAGCCTTCCCCCACCTCCGTTTTTTGCAGCAAGAGGGGAAAAAAGGGAGAGGGAAATAAGAGAAGAAATGCAACTCTTCGCTCCCCGAATACTTTAAAAACAAACAAACTGGACTTCCAAGTCATCTCTGCTTTTGTCCTTCCTCCAACATTTCTGGTTGTCTGTGTGTCCCCCCCCCCCACCCGAATAAAACTATCACAGGGCAGATTATGGGCTGCCTCTCCCACGTTTCCTGTCTCAACTCTACAGAAACGGAACTGGCTATTTTCCTCCTTGGTGGCTTTGGCCTCCGAATCCCCCTTTCCCAGCTG